CTTAAATATATTAATATAAATTTTTATCTTATTTTATCAATTAGTTATTGAAATATTACAAAAATAAAAATTGATGTATTGTCCAATTATTTTTAACCCACACTGTATATAATAAGAAATTTTTAATTTTATAAAATTATTAAAAAACTTTGATATTTTTTTATTTTTGATAATTTAAATTATTTGAAAAATTGATAATTTAATAATAAAGTTTTAAATATTTATATTTGAGGATTTAATTGTTTTTTAAATATTTTTTAAATGGTTTCTTGAAATAAAAACTTGAGAACTGGCTTTTTGTAAGTGATTTTAAATTAGAAAATTGAATAATAGATAAAAAAAAGGTTTTTTTAAATATAATTTTAAATATAAATACCATTTATTATAAAATCAAATAATTTTATTTGTACAAAAAACCTATTTTTAATTCATTATAAGCTTTATTTAATTTTGAGACAATTATTTTTTTTTTATAATATTTTAAGAATTTCGAAAATCAAAAGATTTTAAATAATCAAAAATTTTTATGTTTATATTATTTATTTTTTAATGTATCATTTTTACTAAGTAAATAAGAAAATTTGCGTATAAAGTACAGTATGTATAAATAGTAAAGAAATAAATATAATTTTGATAATAGTTTATTCAATAATTATAATTGGAAAAAAACAATAATTAAGTATATTGTATAAAATGATTATCTAAATCGTTAAATTTTCAAAATGTTTAAAAAAGTTAAATAATAAAGTAATGATATCAAACTAAGTGTTTAGAGTTTAATATCAACATTTTCTTCATAAACAATATTTCATAATAATGATCATGTTCTTTAATAACTCATTGTCCAATATTAAACTGGAATTATTTAAAAAGAATAGAGACTTTATCTTAAAGTTATGCAATAATATTAATTATGTATTCAAATTACTTTTAAAGGAAAATTATAGTGTATAATCATTAATTTCTTCGAAATAAAAGATCTAGACTATACGAATATCATTTATAAATTATCTTCTCTAAAATCTTTGTTACTTTTGATAAATAAAAATGATGTCATGTAATAATTACATTCAGAATACTCGATATGATCGGCAAAAAAAAACGTGACTTCTTTTTTTTTGCTTTTCTTAAAAAAAAATATTGGGCTTAACTTCTAGAGAAATACAGTATATATTTAGAAAGGTTTTAACCAAATTGAGATTTTAGATATGTATTAATGCGTGCAGTTTTTTTGTTTTATATGATTCGATATATAAATTTGAATCGATCGACCACGTTAACTCCGATAAAACCGTTTCATTTGGTAATTATCACATTCTTTTTATTATATTATTTATCATATCATATAGTAAATAATATAATAAAAAGAATGTGATAATTATCAAATGAAGTACTATTTTGACAAACCTATCGATTAGAAATATTTTCATTTTTTTTTCTAATGACATTGTTGTCAAAATGATAATCATCACATTCTTTTTATTATATTATTTATCATATCGTATAGTAATAAAAATGATGTGACAATTACACAACGAATATCATTTTGCCACTGATTATTACGGTAGTTTCATCACCCGAAAGTACTCAGATTTTCTATTTAAGTTTTAATGTGTAATTCTATATTATCGAGTATATAAAGAACTAATTCGAAACAAAAAAAAAGTAATATTCGATCAGTCCTGTATGAGTTGTAAAGTGATAAACTATTCCGACTACGGACAATAATGTCGGGTTTTTGGTTTTCAAAATTTAAGAGTTCTCTGGTAAATACCAAAATTTATTTTTAAGAATTATCTTATATATTAATCAACATTTTACCATATAATAGATCGTTGTGTTAAAACATGTGACCAATGGAAGTACGTGTAAAGTTCAGAAAGCAATGCTAGAAAATGATGGTAATGAAATACCTGTCATATTAAAAGTTGTTGATAATTCAGATGAAATAGAAGTTATTAGAGAGGTACATAATACAATGTGCGCGATTTATTATTAAAACAATGAAGTTAACTGATGTATAAAAATTTCTAGCTTAAAACCTTTTCTTCGATAATAAATCATGAAAATATCATAAAATTTTACGGAATAAGGTACGATTAACCGAACTATTTAAAACCAAAAATTACATTAACGTAGTAATATTAATCTATACACACATTTTTGACGCATTCAGTCGTTGTAAGTTTTTTCATTTAAATAAGTTATCACTGGCATATTATAATACTATTTAATTAATAACTAATCGTTATTATATTCTTTAGCACCTGATGGACACCATATATTTATTTTAGAATATGCGGAGTTAGGTGATTTACGTGAATATCTCTCGAACAATCCCCAAATTACCTGGGAGCAACAGATCAATATTGGCAAACAGGTCGCATGCGGTTTAAGCCATTTACACGATAATCACGTTTTACATAGAGATTTGGTAAGGTAACATTTTTTTATCGTATTAAATCAATATTTTAATTAGCATACTAGAAATATCGTTTTATCAGAATCTGATGGAAAATTAAGAGCCAAGATCATCGACTTTGGAATGTCGATAAACTTATATGAAATTTTAGAAACTTCAGAAGTTAAAGGTGCACCAGGATTTATAGATCCAATAATCTTGAATAAGGAAAGTTATACCGACTTCACTACAAAATCAGATGTTTACAGCATGGGAGTAATATTATGGGAAATTTCAAGCATGACACGGCCATTTAAAGATTCTAATCATAGTAATATTATAAAGAATATATTACTGGGAAAAAAAGAGAATCCGGCTCTACATACTCCATGCAAATATATAGAAATGTACTAACAGTGTTGGATCGAAAATCCAAATCAACGTCCAACTGCAAAATGTATATACGAACAACTTAACGAAGACACAATAATCACGGGAACCACATTTAGAGGGCAAGAGAGATGCTGTATTAAACATCCTCATTTACTTACATCGAATAATTTGGGTGTGAGCATAATAGGCAATTTACATGAACCATTGGATTCTGACATAAGTGGTATGTTTTAAATATAATTTCATGGCTTGTGAATAATATTAATAACTAAATATCCATCATATTTATTATTCCTTTGATTGATTTTAGATAATGAGGTTTAGGCGTATATCAACTTTAAGTGGTTTGCACAAATTCTTTGTTTATATGTTGTCAGGGGTAAAATTGCGACGCGACTCCAGTCACGTGACTAATCGCCGCGAAGGACCCATTCTTATCGTGGTACTTGAGGTAGTGTGATAAAAAAGTATGTAAGCGAGAAATGATGGGGAATGTATAAAATAGTAGTAGGGAAGCGTGCTAGGAAGTTAAATAATGAGGGGAGGATTGTGAAAAACGATTAAGTAATGATCGAGTGTTAAGTAATAGGAGAAAATCATAATACCTTAGATAATCAATGTTGCCATATTTTTAGAATGTAAGATTGTTCCAACTAAAATGTATAAAAAAGGATGCAAGTAAAAGCAGATAAAGGACAGTGAATTATCATGTTACTATTGATCTAAAGTTCCATCATAGCAAAGATTTGTTGGTATAAGAACTATTAGCATCAGAAAATTTATTAGGTGATCTCTGAAGTTCTCTGTTATCTGTTACTAAAATTTGGCAGCGATTCGAGCAACCGTTAATAGGTAAAAGATCATGAGGCGTATACTTGACCGAGTGTTATGTTGTTTTCTCTATTAATTTTCATTTTTTTTATGCATTTCTTTATTTACATTGACTAGGACGGCCATGTCTCTAAATAATAGACAAAATATAATGCCGTGACTAAAGCTACATTGCATAATTTCATTGTTCTGGCATATAAAGTAAGTTAGAAACGACGAATCAGCAAAACTTACTTTATGCACGTTTAATGGAGATGTGTCATGCGTAAATTCTAATACATTGATATTTAAAACTTTTTGTAATAATGTTATTGATATTGAAGTTTGAAGTTCATTTCTTTTTTGCATAAATAATATATTTTTGATAATGCTGTGCAGCAATAATTCGCATCTAGTGTTATGGAAAAAATGCTCAAATCAAGTGCAAGCATGAAAATCATAAATTTCTCTATCTATTGTAACGGGCAAACGGCGAGTCTGTCTCTAATGTTAACAGAAATTCGCGTAACCGTTACTGGTGATTTAAGGTGCACGACTTGGTCGAGTTCTTTTCACTACTCGCACTCTCACCCCTTTATTAATATCATTGTCTCACTTATTTAGACATTTCTTAAAAATAAAGTGATTATACTAAATATGGAATGATACACTCTAGTATGATTGTACAATGATTATAGAACAATTTCTACAATGTCATTGTTGTCGCTCACAGTCATTATATGACTGGTCGTGGCAGGATCGGATCTCGCACTATCCAGCGTAGATCAATCACGTGATTACAGTAACATCGTTCAGACGCGGTGCGTACGATCTCCCATACTTGCATTTTACTTTCTTTATGCTAATTCTATGTCTATGACCACATTATCGTGGTACCTACTAGATTTATATAAACATTATTATTATAACTTTTTATTTTACCCCTTACACTATTACATGATTGAAAGCATTGAATAAATTTTTTCTATCTAGAGTCATACGTGTTCTTCACGTTAACATCGATCATTTTGTTTCGGATGTTTGCAAAGAACGTGGATGATGTATTTTCTAAACGGATGAAGGTAAAGCATCTAATATTGTTTTCTGACTTGACACATCGAAAACTAGATCTGCTAAAAGGACTACCAGGCATAATGATAGCAACGTTTAGTTCGTTTGTTAATTCTCTTTCAGGCTGCGAACGGGGAAAGAAAGCTAGAGTCGATAAATCGGTCACTTTCTGTTGTTCAAGTCCTTGTGATTGATATCGTAAAACCGTATTCAAGGCCTCTAATTGGTATGTATTCAAGTTGGATTCAGGGTAACCAGTTTTCTTTGTCTGTCGGAATCTTGAATCATCGTCTGGTGGAGCATAGTAGAAGGGAAAAGATCAGGAAGATACTTATACCGCTATATTGTAAGAATAAATTAGGTATTTTTGTTTTTTTTTTAGTAAAGCGATTTTTTCAAGGGATGAGATTATTTCAAAGTTTACATGAAAGAACTAGAAAAAATCCGAGATAGACCATCCAGCAGACGTTGGCATATCACTTTGAAATTTCCTTATCAGCGATGGTAATAAAGATATTGATAGTGCAATAACATGAGTATCCGCAAATCGCCAATCTTAATGATTGTCCAAGTTTATTGCCGTTCGACGATTCTGTCTATTTGAAAAAAGTTTCCACCGGTCCAAAGAATTATTCCAGAGTGAATTAAAGCGGGTAAAAGAGAAGCGGACTCATTAATATAATTTTACGTCAAAATTTCGAGCGCAGTGTGGTCGATTATCTCTCTCATTACTCGTTTTCGCAAATTTCGCGAAATTTCACCCTTCGCTCACCTGCAATTATTATGGAGAGTACGGTTAAAATTATCATTGGTATCAGGTAAATCAACCAAACTTTTTCGGAATCCACTTACGCACAAAAAAATTTGATGGTGGTGACGCCTGGTCATTCGACTCGACGACCCAGGAAACTATTGTAACACGGGAAAAAGTAACGCGCCTCATACTGAATTCTGGGTTCCCCGCGATATTGGGAAGAAAACAGCGGTATCAAGCATAATGAGCGTGATAGAAAACTAGCGTGAGCCTGAAGTAGAATCGCGACACAATCGCAACGATTGCCACGTGACCGGGTCATGCAAGGATCGATCGTAGCACTATGGGATCGATTAATAGAATTATGTAATAAGAGTAGCGTGAAAATTAAATAAAAATTGCTTCGTCATGAGATTTTTATAGTTTTTGCTTAATTTGTATTTATTATTTTTATTGTGTAATGAGTGTGCAAGAATGTATAAAAGAAAGAAGAAATTGAATAAAGTAAAAGTAGTCTAAGTCTAGTGTTAAAGTTTTTCGGCCAACATCAAATCCGCCTCACCATAAATAAAACACTTACCATCGTTACGCGAATCTGAGCTTTCCCTAGCGACAGACTCGCCGATCACCGTTACACTATGCTTCGTAAAATTGCTAATCCCCGGATGAAGCCCGTAAGCCAGCAGAAAGAAATTTGTTCAATTTGAATATTAAACTTTATTATTGCAAACCATAGATGCACAAACAATACGGCAGGATATATTTGTAAAGGATAAAAGAATAACTGAGAGATTTTTGATTGCATTATGCAAAGTAATGGTGGATTTTCTGAAAGTGTGGTCAAATCATCGCCATATATTATTATCATTAATAGGCAAGTTAGACCTAAACAGAAGGCGCAAAAGCAAATTTGAAAGAGAATCCATTTCGTGAAGTAAGGCTTAGACTTTAGAATTGTTATTATAAGGAAAGTCAACAAGATCAAGCTTGTTGATTGAAATAGAATATAAGTAATAAGTAGGGGTGAGTGAGAGGGCATAACTTACACGCCTTCTATTTTCTAATTGCTCTTTCTATAAATTGTCGATATTATGGAACGGAGAAGCCACAATTATGCATTTCCCTTTGGACAAAAAAAGGAATGTTTATGAGAGAGAATAAGCTGTGATAGATAGGCTCAAGCCGGATTTATGTAAATTTATCAGGAGTGTATCTGTCCAGAAAAGGAAATCGGGAAAGTTTGGATTTGCGTACTTCCACGACAGTATCTTTTGCGGCTCCTGTCTGTCAAACCCTCTAACCCGTAAGCTCGGTCGAAAAAAAAAAATAAAAGCTTTATAGGCCAGAGAATAATTTTAGGCACCCTAAGATCTAACCTTATATTCTTTGCGCTGGACATGTGGAGAGACACAAAGAGTATAAATACCGGATCGGTTAAAAAAAAAAAAAACCTCTACTATTCAAGTAATTGATGAAGCGTCAATCTCGACAATCCAGACATCAGCGGATGCGGCAGTCGTACGGAATTAAGGTTTCGGCACTTACATTATTATCATTTCGATAATTTATTCACCAACAAATCATCTAATCGGATGGAGACAAAAGTTAGCAGCATTTATTTATTTTACCGTATAACGAGTAATGCAAAAAAATCCATACATTTCACTAAGCATAATAATGATGCTACCTATTGGCCCAGGAAATAAATGATCTCCTGAGACGTTACAAACAATATGTATTTAAGCCGGCCGGACATAAAATGATTCTTATTTATCACGTGGATTCACTATTGCATGTTGTTTTTTCCGAGCCATTTTTGGACAAAAAATCCAAAAAAAAATATCTGCTCCGTAGCTCAATATGCTAATCAAATTTGCGTGTAATTTGTTTTAACCAATGTAATCTTATAGTAATCCTTTATTTATTTGCTAAAATAGTTCCAAGCGTTTTTTCTATATCGGGAATTAAAAAAAACAACATCAACAAATAAGAAACTCGTTGAGGTAGGAATAAGACTGAGTAATAATAATAATAATAATAATAATAACTATTATTATTTTTTTATTTTTATTTTTATTATTATTATTATTATTATTTTAATCTATTATCAAACTACGTATTCGGTTTATATTATTATAATTGTTATTTTAAATACAATTACATCCGTTATAATCGATCAATCCAATAAAAAGAGCATTTTAACAAAAAACTTCAATTATCGATTTTTTCTATTAATTTAAAAAATAACATTTGCATCTTCGATAACAAAAGAATTTATTTGGACGTATGTGAAAATTTTTTTTTTTTTTGTAATTTGCAATGATTTATTTATTGATTTATAAAATTATTAATAATATAAATTTTAAATTTTTGATTTTATTAAATGAGAAAAATGACAACAATCGTTTGACATCAATAATCCCATTTTTTATAAAGATTTTTTTTTTTTTTTTGCAAATGGTTGTGATGATTTATTTTTGCATGTTTTATTTAAAAAGATATATTTATATATTTATTTTATTATATAATATGATTAATTTTTAATATAAGTGAATCGAAAACGTTTATAATAGCAACAAAAACTTATGTAAAAGATAAAAAGACAAATAACTTTGCATCGATAATAAAGATACGTTGTTTTCAGATTAATTTCAATGAAGTAATATTATGTCTTTTAACATTATATGGGAATTATTGTCTTAAATAAAAGTAAAATATCAAGAAGTTATATTCTATAATCTGATGGTTTATACCAGTGCTTTGTTATTGTTGTTGGAGTCATATTCAGCTATTAAAAAGAAATGCTAACTTAAGTAGATACTGTATATCTAATTTGTATCCTGTATAAAAAATTGTTAATATAAAAAAAAAACTCTTTCTGCAAAAACCTTAAATTCTTAAAAATTACTCTTTTAGATAATTTTAAGAACACAAATAAACCTCATTTTTAATCCCAAAGATTTCTAAAAAATCTTGAAAAAATATACTTAATTATTAACAAAAGTAACAAATCCATTAAACTCATTTAATACTAACAATCTCTTGCTTGTTTGTTTTTTCTTTTTAAAAAAGTTTGACAAACTCAATTTCAAAAAAAAACATTAAACATTAAACAAACAATTTATAATAAATTTAAAGAAAAAGTCGACTTCATCCACTTAGCTTCTAGCCAATTGTATACAAGGTTTTGTATCTCTTTAGATACTAGAAGGATTTTTATTAGCCAGATTATATCCAATAAATTAAGCAATTTTGACTTTAAGCAAAAAACAAGAAAATACTAGACTTTCTTTAAGAAAATTTAAGTTAAAGGATTCAAAACAATAAACAATATTATACTCAATCATATTAACTATCTAAAGTTATGCAATAAAATTTTTGATAATCTAAAAACCCAAAATCAGCTTATTTTTATCAAGTAATTGATAATATAAACATATATATCTAAACACATTAACAAACTAAACATATATATTTAAACATATTAACATTATTAAATATATCTATTCAAATATCTTAATTACAAATATATTAACAGTATAAATATATCAATAATACAATATTATTATTATAGAAACAATTAAAATAAAAACATAATATTGTAATATGTTATATAATAATAATAACATTGATAATAGAATAATAGAATAATTAATATTAATATTATTATACTTGATTTTCACTTTAGATCTATAGTGTGTTACAAAAAAATAGTCACAAAATTATGTTATACAAATTTAAGTTTAAAGCACTCAATTCACAACATATTCTTATACTGTTATATATAGACAATTATAAAGCTACTATTATTACTAAAAACATTTTAGATTGCTAACTTGCTTTTGTTTTTTCATAGAAACTTCATATGAAATGTTACCTTTCATTAAAGAAACTCAACATCAAACTCTATTACATTTGTGAAATAAGAGTAAACATAACATTCATGAATTAGAAAAAATAACAAAGCTAAACTACCAGACAATCTATAAATACATAAAAAAAATTAATGAAACTAAAACAATAAAACATATTTAAAATAACAGACAATAAAAAAAAATAATTACACATGTCTCAAAAGCTTTTAAACAATTTATTCATCAAAATTCTGCTATTTTTTTGCAAATCCTAATTATGAATCTATTAGAAATAGATGGAAACATCTCCTATGGAACTGTTAGAAGGCATCTCTATAATGTTGAATATAAAAAAAATCCCACACAAGCTATTTTTATACTTACCAATACCCAAAAACAAAATTGAGTTTTTGGATTTAACAACATCTCAATTATAATTAAAATTTAATTTTTTTTACAAATAAAATGACATTTATGCTTTTTAGAAATACTATGGAGCATTGATACAAAGGTATATAATCAATTCGTCAAATACTTAAAGATCAAACAAAGGTTTTTGCATGAGAATTCTTATATCAGAAATAAATTAGATTTATTTTATTTTACAAACATCATAAATTTAGAATTTTATGTAAATATCTTGCATAACAATATTTTGAAAATTAAAAATTTATTTGAAAGCTAATAACACTTTCAATAAAACAATAACTCAAAATATACAAGTTATCTTACTAAAGCCTTCCTTGAAAAAAATAATCTTAACATTTTGAACTGGCCATCATATAGTCTGAACTTAAACCCTATAGAAAACCTATAGGGTATCATCAAGGCAAACATTAAAAAACGAATATCCAAAAATATTCAAGAGTTGAAATGTTATTTGATAGAAGAGTGATATAATATTTTAGAATTTACTCTAATTGGATTGATACTATTGATATATTATAGATATAAACTTATAATACAAGCAGATGAAGAATACATATCATATTAAATTAGTATTATAAAAATTATCTGGTTTTCTATTTTAAAATTTAAAAAAATCATATTTTTTGATATAATAGTTGTAATATAATAGCATTTTAAAGTTGTAACATTTTTTTTATAATATATTATATATTATCTTTTGTTTTACACTAGTCAAAATTGCTTTATTTGGCATAATGTCACTTGTTAATCATTCATCAAAAAAATATATAACTTGACTAATCAATCAAATTTATATAGCTTTATCTTTGGTTATTTTATTTTATTTTTTTTTTTTGGGTGAAAGATGCTTTGTGCATATGCGTTTTATTGAGTAATTTATGTCCAATTACAGATACACTAAGGTCCATTTAAGTTAACCTCGCTTCTACACCTATAGAC